GTCGCCAGCAGCCCCGGGGAGGGGGAAGAGTGGGCCCGGCCCGAGCCTGGGGGGGCTCCTGCGCCCCTGCCTGTAGCGGTGCCACTGGGGGGTGAGGACAGGCCTGGCCAGCCGGCACTAGTGGAAGCTGACAGCAGAGGCCCGCGTTCGAGTCCGGGCCTCATCAGAAGTTCAGTGTCACTGGGTGGGTTGGTGGGCGAGAGGTAGGGAGGTCTGGGTGAGGGGAAGGGCAAGGACTAGGATTCAGCGGGTGCTTCATGCCGTGCCTTGGGCCCCCAGCTGCTCCCGTGGCCCAGGCCCTGTGCAAGGGCTTTTGGGAGCGCCGTCCCCGAGCACGGTGATGAGGCGCCTTCAGCCTCGGCAGGGCTAAGGAAGGGCTCTGCTGTGGCCAGTCCCTGCCTTCCTTCCTTTCCAGGCCTTCAGGATCCAGCTGTGTTCCTGTGGGGAGCGGGTTAAAAATTCCTCAGGCCTGTAGTCAGCCTTACAGTATCCACCAGGGCCGGAGGGACACACACATGCGTGACTGCAGCCGCCTGTCATGGAGCCCTCCTGCCTGCTGCCTCCCCGTCGCCATAGTAACGGCCTAGTGATGGTGTATTTATAGGGGAAGAGGCAGGCGCTAAATTTTGGGGAAGGCGGCCTGTGGCAGCAGTGACAAGAGTGAGGGTGGCTGCGGGGTTGTGAATGAGCGGCCCAGTGGGCGAGCTGTTCAGGGACTCCTGGTTCGCTGGAAGCTGAGCATGATCTGACGACTTCCGCAGGTGTCGGGATAGTGCACTTTGGTGGCGACAGTCTGTGTGGGTGTGCACGCACTGACGGCGGGTGTGGAACAAAAGGGCGATAGCTGGAAGGGTGGATGTGATTTTTGCCATATAGAAATTATAAAAACCAATGCTGTAGTTCTCTTTGAAAAGCCATAAAATAGTTTTCTTTCTGATTAGTAAATCTGGACACAGAGCTGTTTTTCTTCCATCAAACCCTTGCTGTGAGCACCCCGTCCCCATGATGGGCCTCACAGATCCATCATGGAAGCAGACTTTGGAGAGTACATTTCCACCCCACTTCTTGTCAGCATGGAGGTCCACTTTTCTCACAGGGACAGGCCACCTGTTGACACATTCACATATTGACGGCTTGGAGTGAGACAGCTGTGGGGCTGAGGAGAGAAAAGTCCCTTATGTTGTATTTTTGTGGACAGATGTTAGATGTGCCATTTTGCCGTTAGTTTTAAATGTGCGTGTGATGCATAACTTACCTGTTTGCCAAAAGGATAAGAGGACATAATTTCAATATACAAGACTCTAAACACATGAATAAGAAAGCATATACCAGGTCACAAGGAGGAAGCCTCTGCACTGGACAGCTGGCCTTCCAGGGTGCTGAGCCTCCTGGCAGCATAGGGAAAAAGGCCCCACAGTGGGTTACACTGTTCACGTGCCTTGCATCCATGTAGTCATAAAAGCAGAGCTTTGCTTGGGGTGCAGCATGGTCAGGTACTGACCCTACATGTGGCCAGCGTGGCTAGTGCCGGAATTAACGTAGGCATGCATGTGGAAGAAGAATGCCCTGTCTCCGGGACTTACACCTTCTCCATTGCTCCTGAGCAAGAGCGGGGCCCTTGGATAATTGCTTAAGTTAGAGGCTGCCCTTGTGCCGGGCTCCCCTCTTAGCTACGTTTTGGTGCTCTGCACAGTGCTCTTGATGCAGACAAGAGAGAGGATTGCTTTCAGGGGTGCCAGGCGCCTCCCTGCACGGTCTGCTGATGAGAAATACTACGGCAGGCTACCTGAGTTTGGGCCTTGGCTTTTGACATGGCTGTGGTTGCTGCTCAGCTCTGCCTACTCCTCACACGCAGGCTGCTCATGGCAAGGAACCTGCCTGTCATTGCAGGGCCTGGAACTTGCGGTTGTGAGCAAAATGAGTTCAGAAACAGGCCCTGTCTCTGTGGCTATTGACTCGTTTGACCTTGCCTTAGCCCCCGGCTCTCTGAGGTGTTGAGAAGGCTGAACATGTACTGAGGACATGAGGAAGACCAAGGCCCGAAGGAGTTTTTGTTTTTAAAGAAAAAAAATCTCCCCTCAGTTTCCCTACCCACTCAGAGTCTGGGTTTGGGAGGGGGATAGCTGGAAGGTTTGCTTTGGCCTCAGGCCACCCTCTCCCCGCCCTGGGTGGGGACGTGCTCCTCTGACCTTTGGCAGAGCTGGTGGAGATGGGCAGAGGGTGGCATGTCCCAGGGCCAAGAGGAGACCCGTTGGGTCGGGCTGAGACTTCATGGGACTCTGCTTCCCTTCTCCTCCAGGCAAGTGAGACACAGGAGCCGAGGAAGCGCCATGGCAGGTGAGTGTTCTGGCCTGGCCTCGGGCTCTCGCCTGGCCACTGTGTGTGTCTTCCCAGCTTCCTCTCCTTGGGAGGGGTCTGGACCCCTGTCCCATGGCGGGAGCATTTGAGTCTCTGGGCGGTTCAACCCCCACCCATCTGCAGCTTCGTGGGCCCTCAGGAAAGAGGTAGGTTTGGCACCTTGGACCTCAGGGGGTGCTCGATGTGAGAGCGCCACCTCTCAGGTCCTCTCGGGACCCAGTACCACCTCTTCTTTCACCCTCTGGGCGCAGACGAAGAGGCTGTAGCTCATGCCCCGCCCCCCAGCTGTCTCCAGAGCTCTCGCGCAGGCCACTGGCTGGCGTTCTTAAACGTCCGCACCCATGTCCCTCAGCCGGGTTTGTACGTGACTGTCCGCTAGGCAGTTGATGCCAGGCCACCTGAGGTCACGGGTGGCGGTTGAGGTGGAGGAACAGCACCCTCAGAGTTCTCTGGGGCTGTGTGCTGCTACCCAGTAGTACCGACCTCGGGGTGCATCCTGGGTGTAGGGCTCCATTTTTCTCTTTTAGAGGGGAGGCCAAGGCCTCATGCGTGGATGACAGCAGCACCCAGCGTCCCTGACACCTGTTGTTCTTGTGCAGCTGGCATTTCTCTCGCAGCCAGCTATGATCTTCCTGGCGGCCACCAGAGGCCCAGGCCGGCTGGGGCCCGGGTATCGGAGCCAGAAAGAGGAGCGGTGTAGAGAGCTGCCACTCTGCCTGGCTTCCCTCCCTCTCTGCGTCTCTGTGCCTGGGGTGTGTGGGGGTGGGACCGCGTTGGCGAGAGCAGTGCCTGTGGCCGGGTCTGAAGGGGCCCTGCCCCACCGCTGCGCCCACCCCCGAGTGTGTCTCTCCTCAGTGTTTCTGGAGGCCAAGAACGCCCACTCGGTGTTGAGGCGGTTCCCTCGTGCCAATGAGTTCTTGGAGGAGCTGCGCCAGGGCACCATCGAGCGCGAGTGTATGGAGGAGGTGTGCAGCTATGAAGAGGTCAAGGAGGTGTTCGAAGACAAGGAGCAAACGGCACGTGGCGCTGGGCGCTGGGCGCTGAGCGGCCTTGGGCAAAATGAGGGCGGGCCAGTGTCTCAGACAGCAGCGCCATGAAGGGGTGCGGTGAGGGCCTGGCGCCCTGTGTTGCCTCTGTTGGGTCTGGGGGACCAGCCCCGTGACGGGTGGGCTGGGAAGCAGCAGTGCCCTGCAGACGAGGTGCCAGGGCTGGAAGGGCTGGAGGCCCGCTGGCGCCACGGCCTGGCGCGCATTAAGCAGCCCTTCACCCTTTGCAGATGGAGTTCTGGAAGGGGTATCCGAATGCGGTCTACTCGGTTCGAGACCCTGCACAGAGCTCAGACGCCATGTATGTGGTGGTGCCCCTGCTGGGGGTAGCCTTGCTGATCGTCATCGCCTTGTTCATCATCTGGAGGTGCCAGCTGCAGAAAGCAACCCGCCATCACCCGTCCTACGCGCAGAGCCGGTACCTAGCCAGTCGTACTGGGCACAGCCTGCCGCGGGTCATGGTCTACCGAGGTGCGGTGCACAGCCAGGGGGAGTCCTCTGGGCATCGGGAGGCTGCGAGCAATGCGCAGGTGGTGCTGGGGCCCAGCCGGGGGGGCAGAACCACCACGGTCCGCCTGGAGAGCACCCTGTATCTCCCCGAGCTCTCTCTGTCTAGATTGTCCAGTGCCACCCCGCCTCCGTCCTATGAGGAGGTGACTGCCCCCCAGGAGAGCAGCAGTGAGGAGGCCAGTGTCTCTTACAGCGACCCACCCCCAAAGTATGAGGAGATAGTGGCCGCCAACCTGGACGCAGACAAGTAGCCTCGCGTCCATGTGGTGTGAAAGCCTCTTTCAGGGGCCTCCCGTTTTCTTTTCCACTTTCCACAGACTGTGCCACCACAAAACAGCCTTAGCCTCTTGTTGCCAAATACTTTCCCAACTGTGGACTTGAAGGAAGTCAGTGCTCAGACACAGGTGGAGACCCGTGCGTCCAAGCCCCCGCAGGAGACACAGGCCAGAGGGGCCAGCTCTGCCTGAGCCCCCAGGCCCCTCTGTTCTATGCCACCGGGGCTGGCTTCTCTGTGCCAAAAGAAGCGCCCACAGAGCTCTCGCGGCCAGGTTGGCCAGCGCCCTGGCCGCGGCGCTGCGGCTGTTTGCGTGTGGAAGCCCAGGCTTCCGCGTCGAGAGAAGCCCGCCCTTCAGCACCTCTCGTCCACAGCAGCCTTGTGCTGCTTGCTCTTGAGGATGGGGCAAGTCCTGGGCAAAGCAATAGCGCCTAATCACAAGCAAGTCAGTAATGGCAACGAAAACAAGACAGCAGAATCCGGGCCACCCGCCGGGGCCGAGGGCGGTCAGTGGCGGGTCTGCGGCGCTCCCCTCCCCGCGCCCTCACCTTCCTGACCAGCTTAAAAGAAATGTCTAGGTGAGGGGTGAGGGGTGAGGGGAGGGTCTGACCGGCAGTTCCGTGGCCTCCGCCAGCCTAGCTGGTCGCTCCAGTTCTGGTGGGCTGGCCTGTCCCAGACCTTGCTCTGTCCTGGCCCCAGGCCGTACCCCGACAAGAGCCCCCCGGACACCACCGCTGCTGACCCTGCCCGTGGAGCCCTGCCTCCTCACAGTTGGGGCACAGACAGCACCAAAGTTTCTCCTCCTCCTTGGTCTATAGCACAATTGAACCCTTGAACTCGGCCTCCCGGGCCTGTGCTCTCTGGCCGTGAACTTCTAGGGTACTTCTCGAGACAGGTGCGCTGAGTCGAACTTGAAATCCGCATGGCTCATTTCTCCCAAGTGGTGATGCGCACCTGGGGAGAAGACCCTAGTGTCCCTATTTGGATTCTCTGGGGGCAGAAGGGGGACCCCCCTGAGCTAGGGGTGAAGGCCGGCCTGGGATTTGCTTTGCCATTGCCAGGTGCTGGTTCCTTTTTAGTAACTGCTTTCTGGGGCCTGGGGGGCTCTCCGCCTCACTTCAGTGGGGCTTCGGCCTGCGGTGGGGCACAGGCGGCTGCCCTCTAACTGCCTGTGACCACGCAGAAGATGATGTCGACACTGCCCTCGCCTTCATCTGCACCCTCCTGGCCTCGACTCCCCACCTTCATCCTCTGTGGTGCTTTAAAACATGTAGCACATTTTTGTGGCACCCAAAAGAGTGATAGCCAGGGTCTGTCCGTCACCACAGGGGCTTCCGCCCTCTAAGCAGACACTTCTTTCTAAGCAGCTCCCCAAGGCAGCCGCTGCGCCTTGTTTCACTGCAGCCCTGCCTGGAGGCCACTCTGCCTTTGGGAGGCCCGTCCAGGCTGGACACATTTCCAGCTAGGAAGTCTGTGTTCGTACCGCAGCGAGGCCACCAGCATGGACAAATCACCCCTGCCGCCCCCTTCCTCCCCTACCTCACGGGCCTCCCGAGGCTGACGGAGGCGCTGCGTGCACTGTGCTGGAATCTCCGGGAGCTGATGCATTTGTCCGTAGGCAGACTCTTCTAGAAGGGTGTAGGGATAAGACTCAGTCTTAGTGGAGTCTTCATGTGACTCTGGTGCAGACTCTCAACTGGGGAGTCGGTGTCCTGCCAGTTGACCGGCTTTCCCCTGCCGCCTCCCCCAACGCCAGAGGCTCTGAGCAGGTGGCACGCGCCTCCTTCCCTCCTCTTCTCCCCAGGGCCTCTAACATGAAAGCCCTGACCTTCCTCCCACAGACCTTTGTGGCCTACAAGGCCTCTGCCCTGTCCAAGGTGGAGCCTGCCACCCGTCCGTCAGCCGTGTCGGGGACCCTGGGGCCAGTCCCCACTCTCCTCTCCCAGCGTCCCTCCAGCAGGTGCCTGCCAGGCACCGGGAGCCTGGGGGGGCCCTGACCGTGTGTCCCCACCCCCCAGAGCAGAGCCAGGCAGGGCCCCACTACCAGAGCCAGAGTGGGTGTGCCCAGGGGCCGCTGCCTCTGCATCTGTTGGGCCCACCCAGCTGTTTGTAGCTGGGTGGAGGGGAGCAGCCCTTGGGGCCTGCCTGCAGGGAGAGCACCAGGCTGGGCCCTGGGCCGGCTCTTCTGGGGTCACCCCACAGGAAGCGCCCGCAGCCAGGGGCAGAGCCGTGTGCCGCCCGTGTCGCGGTAAGGGCACCTTTTCACGCTGTCCCAGCAGCTGGGTTGATACGCTAGCTCTGCATAGCCTCGTTCTGTGGCTTCTGAGCTCATGTGTGCACGTCCCTGGGGCAAGCGCCGCTGCTGTAGCTGTGTTTGTGCCGGTCTGAGGCAATGGCTGCCACTTCCCGGGTCCGGGCTGCCTGGTCACGGGACCCTGAGTGAGGAAGCTGCCATTAGCGGTCGGGACCCCCTTTTCTTGCCCCACGAGACACTGGCAGATGAAGTGGCTGCGTCCCGTGGCCCTCTGCTTGGCGAGCTGCCTGGCTCCTGTGCCTCGCTGTGGGCAGCTGAAGGATTCTGAGCTCCTTTTTTATTCTTTTTATTATTATTTTTTCACGGAAAGATGTGTGATTATCGACTGTGGGGCAGACCGGGCTAGTCAGTTGGAGCGCGCCCTGTGGTTTCAATTAGAAATTTTAAGATGAGAATCACAATCTTGCCCCGGCCCCCTGCTCCCTGTCGCCTAGCGTTTTCCAAACGGAAGCACAAGGACGTGTGCTCCAGCACGGCTCCTGAATCGCAGCCTGCGCAGTCCGACCGGGAGCCCCCCTTCTGCTCGCAAACCCCAGTGCCATGGGCCTGAGCTCCTAGAGACCCTCAGAGGCCCTGGGAAGGGGACAGTCGTTCTCCGGTTTCCCTTGGGAAGAGAGCAACACGCTGTCTCTAGACTGCTCTTCTGCCCAAGGTGGGGGTGGGGCATGAGAGACAGGGCGGGGGTGGGGCGGGGAGAGCCTCGTGGATCTGATCTTCAGGAATGACTGTCTCGCTCTCCCACGCTGTCCTCTGCGGGCTTGGGTGCTCCTGGGTGCCCCCTCGAGACAGATGGAGGTCGGAGCGGCTGCTTTTCAGCTTGGGCGACACACGCTGCACTCGCTAACCAGCGTCCTTAGCTGCAAGGGCCGCAGCTCTGCGGAAGAAGGAAGAGGAAGCGTGTTGATTTGAAGCCCTGAGCCACGACTCTGAGAAAGTCACGACTTCAGTAACTCCCGCGTCTGTGACGCTTGCCCCGAGCAGCACTTGCAGCTCTCCTCGTCTCTGTTTCTGAGTCTTGTGTGTAAAGGCTGCAGTTTGAAATGAGTGTCTTTTCGTACAAGGCTCAAGAGTTAAGGATTCCTTCACTTGTGCCTTCGGCTTTGGGGTTCAGCGCTTCTGTTATGGGGGGGCGAATTCTGTTAGCTTTCCGTTGTGGGGTTTTGGAGCTGCAGCTTTGCATTCGACTCTTGATGTGCTGGGGATGCCGGACTGTGTGAGCCAGGCTCGCAGTAACGTAAACACGTCTTTCGAGATACTCTGACGCAGACGCTGTGCTCTCGTGAAGCCGCTCCCATGCTCCTCTTCCAGTGTCCACGCCTAGGGAGCTTCCCCTTCACAGGCTGTGGGCAGCGAGTCCCGCTCTACCAAGCACCTCTTCGGCAAAGGTCTGCAAGGAGCGCGGCCTCAGCAGTGGCGTCCGTTGCTGCCGTGGGTGGGGCCGCCACGGCGGCTGGCCTCCCGACCTGTTGCCCCGGAGGCCACTGTCCTCGCCTGGACATGCCTGCTGTCTCACACGGGCTCGCAGCTCATGACAGTGGCCCCCTGGTGAGTGCGGGGGCGAGCTGACTGCGACGCGGGTCGCCGGCGCCACTCCGACTGGCTGGTAGGCGCGGTGCCCCGTCGGCCGGGAGCGCCCGTCCGCAACGGCCGCTTTCTCCGGGGCCTGGGGCGACGCTTGCTTCTCGTCTCTCTCGCTCTCTTTTTATAACTGTTGCGTGTTGCTGCTGCATTTCATGTCTTTCTGTACCAGATGACGTGTGACAATAAAGAGCACATGGTACCCGCTTGCACCCGGCTCGCCCGTCTTGCTTGCAGCTGGCTGACACCCCGGCTCCATGGCACGCGGATGTGCAGCCCAGCTTGTTTTTCCAGAAGTCAGATATAGATAAGGAAACAGCCCAAGCCAGTTCGGAAACAGGAAGCAAAGATGTCCTGGGTCCGTGGGCTCGTCCCCTCCCTATAAGGTGACCTGTCTCCCCCCACTCTGTGGACTTGGCCACAGATCACCAGAGCAGCTACCTGTCACCTAGACGGCTGTCCTAGTTCATGCCAGACCTGGGGCAGAGGTGAGGGAGACGCCGCTTGCCTCTCACATGGGTGGGACATTATACCCAGGCTGGGCCTTGGCACGACTTCCTGAGTGCTGGGGCTGGCACCAGGTACCAGTCGGAGGGAGCGGTCCTAGGCCCGCACCCTAGCTGCCGGTGCGGAGCTGTGGCCATGGGAAGGCGCTGGGAAAGTCGTGCCAGTTCATCATGGCAGCGGAACCTGGGGCCTCCTCAGAGGAGTGAATCTGGAGGCCGAATGCCGGGAACGCCAGCCAGCAGCCTTGGCCTCCGTGCCCATCCCAGGCCGCTTGTTGAGTGATGGCAGCTTTCTGGGGGTGCGGGCCAGTCCAGTGACGTTTCTGCCAGCGGAGCCCAGCTGGCCGAGTCTGAGCTTGGGTTTTCAGTCTTTTGGCCCTTTTGCAGGAAAAATCTATGCGAGGCAGTCACGTAGTCCCGGCTACCTCGCGTGAGGAAGTTAAGGGGCAAAAGGCTCCAGGCTGCCACCGTCTCCTTGGGCTGCCATTTGGGGTGGGGGCAGGGCCTCCCTTTCTTTGTTACCCACTGTACCAGAAGATGCCTTGGGATTGCTTGAGGAGCACGAGGGCCCGTCAGGGCAGGGGCTCAGAGGACTGGCTGTGGGTGAGATGGCCACTTAGCTTCTGTTTGTGTGCTGACTGTCCATCCTCCTGGCCGCCCCCTGCCGCCTCCTACCAAGAATTCGTCCAGAAGGGCAGGGACCATAGTCTTTCCTTGCCACTTGCTCCCCACAAGCAGAGAGCACAAGTCCTGAGTGAAAGGAAGCCTTGACGGGGTAGCTCTCTGTGGCACAGTGCAGCTCCATGTATGCCTTTGCTGGGGCCACCTTGACAAAGGAGCATGACGTGGTGGCTGACGGGACACGAACGTATGCTCTCACAGTTCCAGAGCCCGAGGCCAAGGTGAAAGTGAGGGCAGGTGGA